ACAGAGATGAGATTGGCCGAATTAAAGAATCTTGTTTCAAAAACCTCATGGGCCTGATCTTTTTTATTCCCTGTAGCATTCCTCCAATCCCCCTCACCCCCCGCCCCTCATTTATCCACACACCCACTCACATTTGTTCAGTCCACCACAAGATAGACACTGTGCTGGGCACTGGGAACACATAAAAGCAGCCTCCCCCCCCCAGGGGCTTCAACAGAGAAGCAAGCAGAGGGACAACCCATTCGATCTGCGCATGGAGAAGGCTACACGAAGGAGAGATGTTTCTGTGTTGGGCTTGGAAGAGTCTGAGGCGGACAGTGAAGCCGAGAAGAGGATCATTCAAGAATGATCTGGTGTGAAAGGTGGAGGTGTGGCAGGAGAAAATCCGAAGTCAGACCTCAGTGCCTCCCCATATCACTAAGCATCAAAGCAAATGTCTTGAAAAGGACGCAGGAAGCTCTATCTGATGTGCAGCGAGGCCTTCCGACTTCCTGCTCCCTCAGCTGCCGCCACACTGGCTGCCCTGCAGCTCCTCAGGGCCTGTGCCAGGCCCCTCGGAAGGAGGGCTTCTCCCCACCTCTCCACCTGGCTTGTGCCTGGCTTCCTTCGGTCTTTACTCAGATAGCACCTTCCCGGCGAGGCCCTTCTTGCCACCCTTTCCTGACTCCTGTTTAATTTTTCTCCCTCCCTATCACCACCAGCCACTACTGAATGCAGTTTGCTTATTTATCTTTGTTTACTGTTTGTCTCTTCCAAGAAGAATAACAGTTCATGAGAACAGGAGGTTTTGTCCGTTGGTTCATTGCTGTAGTCTGGTGCAAAACTAAGGCTTCCGGTTTATTTGTAAAGTAAAGGGAAGCCATGGATGTTTTCACTAAGAGAGGAGGATAACGGGGTGTGTTTTCTGGACAGTAACTGTTGGTGACAACGACAGAACGGTGGCGGTGGTGGAGGAGGAAGGGGAGAATGGAAGCAGGAAGTTCCATGAAGAGGTCACTGCATGAGGGGACGTCAGCTTGACATGCGGCAGTGGCAGTGGCAGTGGAGGGAAAGAGCAAAATACCTGAAGGTGAAATGCAGGGTAAAATGAATAGTGCTGATTTTATGCATCAACACCAGGAAACTGCTTTTTGCGTTTTCATTTCTCACAAACAACAATCCATCAGTACAAAATCAGCTCTAACCTTGGTGCAAAGAATGGTTTTGAACCTGGGCTTGTGGAAAAGCAAGCTGGACTGCTACGCTGAGAATGTATTCAGGTCAGGCTACCGTGTTTCCCCGAAAATAAGACATCCTCTGAAAATAAGACCTACTTACAGGTTTCCTTCTGAGTGAAACATAAGGCATCCCCCTGAAAATAAGGCCCCCCCCTAGGCTAAACATGAGAGATTTGGTCCACTGATTCTGAAAGAAATGGAGTCACAAGAAATTCACCAGGAAATTCAGGAATTGGATTGTTATGACGATGTTCCAGAAGATGATGACATGATTGTCATTGAATAAATGAGTAAATTCTTGATACTGTAGGATTCACAGTTTGTCTGGTTTGTGTTGACAACTACTGTACTATCGTACCGTATACAGGTAATAAATTTCCTTTATTTTCATTTAACAATAAATGTGTACCGTATTCTTCTTCATGGAAAAATAAGACATCCCCTGAAAATAAGACCTAGCGCATCTTTGGGAGCAAAAATTAATATGAGACACTGTCTTATTCTCGGAGAAACAGGGTATTACTAGGAAATTTGTAAAACGGAGCTGGTTTTTGTCATAAACCTTGCAAGCCACCTTCCTGTCTGATGAGGCTCCTCCCTGTTCCTCTCAATGTCACATTTCAGTTATTATTATTATTATTTGGCTTTAAGGCTCTCAATCAATTTGAGCTTGTACTTCTCCCCTTCCTTTGAATCTAATCCTTTTACAAAACTTGCTAACTAACCAAGCAATTCAGTGTTTTACTGTCTCCTCATACCTTTTGCCCTTCATTTGGTCACACCTCACGTACTCCATTCTAAGTTCCTTCTCAGATTCTTACTTTGGGCCTTTTTTCATGCTGGGCAGAGATGACCGGAAAGCGTTAAAAACCCATTTATAAGTCACAGCCCCTCCCTTGACCTCCATCCTCACCTTACAGCCAAGTACCCTTCTCTGTGAAGGTAACCACGGCCATCCTCAGGTAGGAAAGAACCTCCACCAACCTTTCTTGAAGAAAGAATGACTTGAAAACACACTGTAGCCAGCTGAGCAGGTACTGCGTGGAGACCTCAGAGTGGAGTCATGGTGGCCAGGGCCTGGGAGTGGCTGGGTGCCCCCTCAGGCAGGAGGACGCCGTGCGCAGAGAACGCCGGGCGGCACCCGGCCACCCCAACAAACGCAACCCAAGGCGGAGCGGAAGGGCCTTCCTCCCCCAGTGACATCTGGATGAAGCTAACGAAACTGTCTGTTCCTTAAGAACTGCTCTCCTCCATTAAGAAAACAATCCTGTAATTGGAATCCTTCTGTAAAAGCCTCTCCCTCAAGAAAAGTCTACTGTGAGGTTCAGAGTCCTATTAAATCTGATTAGAGCCATGTTGTAAAACACAAACAGGAAGCACCATGGCGAGGACCAGCCTCGGAACAGGTTTCCGTGGTTTTCTGAGGGTGAGGGGCGGCGTATGTCCCCCCCCCCCCCGCCCCCCAGGGCCGTGCAGGAGGCCCCTCAGGATGGGCTCAGTCAGCCCTTCCGGCTCCTCGCCTTGCAGCCCGCTTCCCAGGCTCATCTCCAGCAGCTCCTGAACCGGCGCCTCCACCCAGGCCTCTGCGCCCCTCCACACGCCCACCCTTGTCCGGGAGGGAGGCGGGAGCCCTATTTGCCTTCTTCCCCATGAAGCCTCCCAGGCACAGCCCCCTCTCTGCCTGCCTCACTGAGTCAGGGCAGCTGTCAAAGCCCCTTGCTATCAGCAGCTGCTCACCCTCTGTCGCCGTGCCCGACAGAGTGGGCCCAGTTCTCATTCCGGCTGCTCAGCCATCCTCACAGGAGGCGGAGTGAAGGGCCCCTTGCAGGACCTGCAGTGTGCAGATCCCTGCACGAGGCGTCCCAGACCCCACTATCAGAATGAAGACTTGGGGCCACAGTGGGTAAATGCAAGTAACCCGTCCCTCGCGATGATTTCCTCTGATAATAAATAACAAAAAGGGAAGATTCCTTCCTGGGTTGGATGCACATATTTTATCCATGTGACCAGAAGCTCCGTGGGTGCGGGGACTACATTCAGCTCTGCGCTCACTGCTTTGTCTGCAGCGCCTAACACAGCGCCCCACTCCGCTGTTCCATCTGCTTGCTGAGAAGACGCGTTCTTATTTGTCCTTCTTTCCCAGGCAAAATACCCTGCACGGCTCACGTTTCCTGGCGCTCCGCTGAAGGCAGGAATCCCAGCCTCTGCGGAAAACCAGGCCATCTTCGTCCGGCTAAAACCCAACTCCATCACCAGCCGCCCTCCCAGCACACACCTGCCTCCCTGCGCCAGGCCCCGCCCCCACCCCTTTGTCTGGGCTTCGGCGCGACCAGAGGAACAAAAAGCGGCTCATGTGACTGGCAGGAAAAGCTTCAAAGAAATGCAAAGCAACGTTAACCTTTCCCCCCAACCGCATTTAACACGGGCGATTATAAACCGGGGGGGGGGGGGGTCCAGGGAGAAAGGAGTGCAAAACCCAGACAATGAAAAGGAGGGGCCTCACATCTGCACCGTCCCGAGTCTAGCACATGGACCCGCTCCAGCCACTACACCAGGCGCCCCGCTGCGCCCCACGCCCCTGCAGGGCGGCCCGTTCTCCCTCCGCCGGCGGCTCCGCCCACTGGCGCGCACAGGCCGCCGCCGCCCTCCACCCGCGACTCCACCCGCCCACCCGGCGCTTCGGAGGCGGGGCGCCTGTCAACTCTGCCAGCAGCCTGGCTCCCCCTGGAGTCTCGAGGCCACACCCACCCAGGAAGAGACCCTCTCTCCCTCTCCGCATTTTGCAGATGACCAGAAACCATCCTAAAAATGAACAAAGGGATTACAAATGAATCTGCGCCCACTGGCTCCTCTGACTGCAAAGATACGACGACCACGAGAGACCTCCATTCCTCGTTAATCTCCACTATCGTTTTCATCGCTGCCTTTTTTTTTTTTTTTTTTTAAAGGCAGGACATGAAGGGAGCTGTGTTCTCTCTTCACTTGGCAGTAACTAAAAAAATACGTCCTTAACATTTCAGAAAGCAGATTGTCCTTGCTCTAGAACCACTAAAGCGTGGAGGTGAAATGGCACGATTGTCCTTTAAGTCACCATCTGCCTAAATTAATGGACGTAAGAGTGGATAACCTGGACCTGGGCTCTCTTTGGAGACCGTGAATCTGGTCCCCAGAAAAATTCCAGGACCACAGCCTCCCCAATTGCTTTCCGCTATACTTGCTTCTGCATATTTTGACTGTTTTAAAATGGGCAGCGAGTGGCCTCCGACTGCGTTTCGCATGTGCCTCTGCTCTCCCTGGCCATCTGGAGCCGGGCCTACTGAGAGAACAGGGCCTGGCATCCTCCTGCCGGTGGACATGGCGTGGCTCCGCGGATCAGTGCTACAGGGCAATCAAAACGCGGTGGGGGCCTTCTCCTCTCTTTCCCAGAGAGTGTGCAAACGGCATTGGAGCAGAGGCTCTGCCAGTGACGTTTCTGCTCTGGGAGGCACACACACACTCCTCCTGAGAGAGCAGAGTTGCCTCAAATTGGGGAGGACCGAAGCGCTTATTCCAGCTGCTAATACTTTAATCCTGGCACCCAGTTCATGGCGGCTGCTTGTCTACATTCCACAGTGGCTCCCAGTTCTGCTCCTCTCCGGCTAAATAACCTGTCCATGGGATTCACTCTCATGCTCAGCAGGCAGCTGAGGATGGGGCTGAGAAGGCAAATTGGGTGAGGTTTCCCCAGATGCTCTTGAAAGAGCCTCCAATCCGAGGCCCGTTTCTGCTGGTGCCTGCGCTTACCTGGGTAGGGCACTCTTCCTTTGGTGACCAGCTCTGTGAGTAAGATTCCAAACGACCACACGTCGGACTTGATTGTGAACCTCCCGTACAGGGCTGCTTCGGGGGCCGTCCACTTAATGGGGAACTTTGCACCTGCAGAAAGAGCACCTGGTTATCCACCAAACCAACAGCATCACGCCGGGTATGGGCCGGGGAGGAAAAGCATTTGGAGAGCTCTTTCCCAGGAGCAGGACACAGAGAGGACGGGCAGGGGGGTGAGAGCAGGAATGAAACCAGGACTGAAGAGCTGTGGGGTCTGGTCCTGGCTCTGTGACCGCAAGCAAAACCAGTTTAATTTTCCCATCAAAGGGTTGCACATCAAAGCACCTTTAAGCTCTGGCTTCTAGAACTTGAACCTATGGCTACACTGAATGCCCTAGGTTTTGTCTGGAAATGAATCTAACTTGTGAGTTAGGAAACCAGTTTTACACACACACACACACACACACACACTCACTGCTTTAGAATAATGTTATCCTATATAATATCCTATATAATAAGAGAGGAATTTGCTAATTCTTTTGTTACACCTTGAGGCGTAATGACCAACCGGGTAATGACCAGATCATGGATCTGCAGGAGGGTGGGCTGAGAACTATAAGCCCCACCCTCCTGCAGGTGAAAAGCTACAGGAGGGAGTAGGACAGCAAGCTATGTGGGCGGGGGAGGGGGAATGGAACTACAGTTGGGTGGGGCAGTGGGTGGAGAGCTACAGGAGGGAGGCAGAGAGCTACTGGTGCATGGATTTGTGCACAGGGCTATTAGTATTAAAAAATATATTTTATTGATGTTTTACAGAGAGGAAGGGAGAGGGATAGAGAGTTAGAAACATCGATGAGAGAGAAACATTGATGAGTTGCCTCCTGCACACCCTCTACTGGGAATGTGCCTGCAATCAAGGGACATGCCCTTGACCAGAATTGAACCTGGAACCTTTCAGTCTGCAGGCTGATGCTCTATCCACTGAACCAAAATGGTTAGGGCAGGGCTACTAGTACTTAAATCATAATGCTACTCTCATGAATCCTTCTGTATAGAAGACCATGGTTCTCACCTGGTGGGTAAAAACCAAATCAAACCATGCTTCTCTCAGGGTGGAGACCATTTGCTGCAGCCCCTGTGTGATGGTCTCCACTTCCCTAAGGCTCTCACACTACAGCAGATAGATGATTTACCTCCGGCTGCCTCCCTCCCTCCCTCCCTCCCCAGAGAGCGGAGAGCGGCCAGCTTTAACTCTGCGACAGTTTTTTCTTCCTGGCTGTGAGAGCCCTTGCTGGCCTCCCTACCTCTCCCCTGCCTGCCAGAGAGCCTACTCTCCCCTGCCTGCCAGAGAGCCTTTCTCAAGACCAAGGAGCAAATTTCACGCCTAAGCCAGTAGGACTTTTTCTTTTAAACTTCTCCAATAGTGAAAAGAATCTTCTCTCTAATCCAAAAGGAGGGGGGGTCCACCCTGCTCTTTACCACTCCACGTGTGTACAAGAGTGACACGGACCCGCAGCCTATGCTCACACACGCGCTCAGCAATGATAAAACGGCTCCATATATTTCACAGAACAAACTAAAAGGAAAACATGAGGAGTTTTATTTGGTATAAACACAATTACATGTTTAAAGCATGTTGACTTTACTTAGGAGCTCCTAAAAAAGTCACACAAAGGTTAACAACAGAAATTTTCATAGTATCCTCCATAAAAAGCCACAATGTGCAAAAATAGCAAGTGATTAAAATCTTTAAATTAATATGGTTTTAATACCAAAGGTATGATAAATTATAGCAATTAGATTTTTGTTTTAAATACAGTATTTATATTTAAATCTTTAGCAAATTTAACTGGAATTTTCTGGCAATATAATTTTCCTTCCCATCTCTTCTATGTCAGTGTGAAATGAAATTAAAAAAAAAAATCCCACTATTTCATTATGTGGCATTTCACATTAACACTTTTTTTTTTTCTATGCACTGCACTATTTGTGATCAACTGTTTCCCAAGCACAATTATTTATATCTGTCCTTAAGGGCTGCATGATTCCACACGAGGCTTGGTTCTCTGAACAGCCTTTTAGTTTTAAAAATTTCTTTCAAAGGGTTCTTCCCATCCTTCTACCCTTGGGCATTCTGATCACACAGCTCTGGACTCTGAGCTCCTGGGATTAATGGGATAGGTTTCCTTCAGTGTCTAGAGCAGACTTTGCCCTGGACCAAACTTCATTTCAGAGAATTAAAGGTATATTAAATTCATTCCTATTTAAACCATCTCTTGAAAATCTGTGCCCGTCTCTGAAGCAGATAGAACATTCTTCTCCACCGTGTGCACACAAATCCTGTAAATGAAACCAGCCAGGGAGCCTTTCTTCCCTTCTTGGAGTCACTGGCTTTGGAGATGGTATATGTTGCTGAACGTATACTATTCAAAATTTGATTAAAGGCATTCTGGATTTTCTGGGAGAAGATTTCATAATTTCAGATTTTAAACAAATCCCAAATTTCTATATATCAGCCAGCTGTGCTAGTCTGCTTTATTTTTCTCATTATAATATCTACAACAAGAATTATAATACATAAGATTTCAAAAAATACCTTAAAACAAAGGCTGTAAAGACTCTCTGATAGGAAATCATTTGTAGATAGGTATTTTGACTTCGTAGCAAGAGCTCACTTAAATTTATTTTGTACTAGTTTTCTTTCTACCTAATGTATTTATGTCTAATACATTTTGGAGGGGAGAAAATGAAGGATGTCTTTGTTCAATTTCTCCTATTTCGTTCCCTTCTTAAAATAGCAGGTGCAATTGACAAAAGAAGGTTCTTTAAATATAGCTCATATTTTCCTTTTCAAGGAGAAAAGATGAATACATTAAAGCCGCAATACGCTGCTAATCATTAATGAATGTCTCAGCAAAATACCAAGTCTATGCTCACTTTTTTATTCATCTCATTACCTCGATTTCCCCTCATCATGTTCCCCCCTTTCCTGAGGACACAGATGTAGCTCCAAACAGGGGAGCGTTCACCTGGCGTCTGGGGCAGGGGTCTTTGTAAATGGCCATGCGGGCTGCACACTGCAAACCCCAGTCTATGAGCACGACATCCCTGAGACCGCCAGTGAGCACCTACGAGTACCCATGGGTGGCCCTGCTGAGGCTGTGGCGGGTTCTCTCCCCGGTGACATTAGGGAAGCTCAGGCACCGGGAGGAAGGGCTCCTGGGGGCAAACAATGCCTTTCTCCAGAGAGTAAAGGTCTGCCCCTCAGATTTCCCCCCAGATATCACGGCAGGCATAATGTCAGGATCAAAGCTGTCTTCTGAGTGGTATGGATTGTGGAAAGGGAGGAGACAGCATCAGGAGACCTACACTACCGTGAACTGGGTATTGATTCACTCTTTTTGAAATTCTTCCTGTGAGGGGGCGGATTCAGATGCCAACACAATTTCCTCTCCTCTTCACTTTATTGGAGGGAATGTCGGAATGTCCAAACTGAGCAGGTATGATGAACTAAAAGAATAAAGGAATTACTATCACTCTAGTTTTTATTTTTTACTGAGTTACTGTAACAGTTCAGGCTTCTTTTAAGACAACAGACAAGGCCATGCGTGATACATGAGCATTTATGTGTGGACTCGGCAGTTTCCGCGTTTCACTGCCTCCTACGGTGAACTCATTGTGCTCACTGGGCCACGTCTGGAACCACCAGAAAAGTAGACCATCTTTGTTCTTTAGTTGCTCACCTCCGTGGAATAGTACCGAGGACTGGTTAGCCTAAGTCTGAACCCTTTTCTGTCGTGATAAACACACCAGGGTTTCACGTAGTTTCTCTAACGTCTGTTGAGATGTGAAATGAGAGGCCATAGGCTTCCTGTAACAACAGGGGTCCTACTTACTCTCTCGGCTTCAATGGCTCTTCTCATTCCAACAACACCAGATGGGACCGTCCTCCCACGTTCCCGACCTCCTCGATGTCTCTGAAAGGCCTCCCAAATAAACATCCACAACTTATCTTCCCCACGATCCTGCTTCTTTCTCAGAGGGTGCCGCCTTGTAACTGCCTGGCTGATGGAAGCAGCACACGGACATCCTCCTGGCCTGGATGCCGTGTGTATCTGTCCTCCGCGGTGCACGCAGGCAGCCACACAGAGCCCACTGAAAGGAGGAGCTCAATACATCTTCACTGAGGCACCTCTGCCCCTGTTGCTTTGTCATTCTGCACATGGAGTCCACGTCACTGCCCTCACGCCCATCCTCGCTCATGCACTGTCACCTGCCTGGACTCCTGCAGGGGCCTTCCACCTGGGCCCGCCTGGTCTCTCCTCCCCACTCTCCACCTCTCTATGATCTCGGGCCTGCCCTCCTTTGCTCTCCTGCCCCACTCCCATCTCTATGACCTCTGACTGCTCTTACCCACTGCAGGGCCATGGGGCGAGCCATTCTCTTTGTCTCAAGTCCTCACCCCACTCCCATCCCGGGGCTCACTCCTGCTCCGCCTGGTTACTTGCACAGGGAAGCTTTGCCTGAGCACCAGGACTAGGAAAGGTTCCTTAGCGTTTTGCTGCCAGAGTGTCTTACTCTTTGTAGCTGTTACTATTCAAGTGCAAGCAATGTGTTGCAGGTATCCCCACCTTCTTAAACCTTGAGTTATGACACTCCGCTATTATGGGAGACTAACACTAGTACCAGCTTTCCCTAACCAAAAGGAATCCGAGGAGGGTTTTCACGTTTACAGGAAAAGCAGGAAAGCAAAAATAGCGATCCTGTTTGTTTTGCTGCGAGCGTTTTGGAAGCGGCGCACACGCAGAGCAGCAGGAGCGGCCGACAAGCTCCTTGCCAGGGAACTCCGCTCAGCATCTCGGCGTCACGCCGCCTGCGCTCCGAGCTGCGCCTGTGAGCACCTGTGCTTCATCTCCATCGATTCTGTGCATCCGTTAGCAAGATGTGTCCCGAGGTGACTGCTGCTTTGCTTCACGCCACTTAGGTTTACACATGGCTTCATTTTTTGACAGTGGGGAACCTGGAGCTGCCTGAACGGTGACTCTCGGCAGATACAGTCCTGGGTCTTTCTGGATGGCCAGCATCGCCCCAGGACAGCCCGGCGTCCGGGG